CGAGGTCATTTAACATCGTCCTTTTTGGCCGTAGGTAAAAGCGCGCCATAGGAGTAGATAGCCCTAAATATATATTTTTACATTCAAAATCACATTAAAAATCTAAAATGGTTCGGATTTCCACTTGTGTTATTTGGAAAAAATATCAGTAAATTGTGACTTTTTAAAATGATATTTAAAGAGACAAAACTGTTTTAAAATAATTATGAATTTTAAGTTGAAAATGCATGTGATAAAATGTGACTGTAAGTTATAGGCTTTACTACTTACCAAGATCTTTTTTCGTCCTTTAAAACGACGAATTCCACAATGAAAGTTGACGAGAAATCCCTCATTTCGAAGCCAAAACATRAATCTTATATATCGATAGTCCTCGAGTTCAACTTTCTTGTGGCAATGACTCAAATTGTGAAGAATTGAAGAGGACATACATTACGTGAAATGTTAAATTTGGAAATGCTTTGAAYGTTTGTTTTGACGGAAAATAATATCAATATCGACGACAACGGTATTTTCGAAACAGAGCTGGTCTTATTTGCTTGTTAAAATTTTGTATTTGTTCTTTAGAATTGAATTGTTCAGGTGGATTTGATGAAGCTATTGAAGGAACAGCGTATGACAAAGTAAAACCTGTAAATAAAGGGCCGGCCATGGYCAAGGTACCTAGTGAAGAACGGGTCAGTAGGCTTGACTACCAGTAATATATGTGAAAACAAATTTACTATACTACAAATCCAAGTTTAATGCTGTAAAAAAGTAGAGAAAAAAATCGTCAAGAAATGTAGAAGTTGACCGCAAAGGTATAGTAACGGAGGCGAGGAAATAAGATTTAGAACTGAATTAGAATTTGCGAAATTTCATTCCATTGGTCTGGTTTCCACCAGTAGAGGTCTTAAAGGGTCACGTGCCGGACGTTATGGATGTCGGAAGAGTCGGATGTCGGCCACGTACGTTGGATGGCTGACTTTTTTCTCGAGGAGTTTTGAAGTTTTTCCGCCTTCTTTTTCGCCCGCCCTTTTTATTTTTTTTAACTCTTGCTGTCCAGTATGACTGCAGTTGTCTTATCTTATATAACATGAGTGAAGACCAAGAAGTCAAATCAGTGAAATGGCTGGTAAAACTAACAACCCCCCCCCCCCCCCCCCCCACCAAAACTCATATTCGTTATCATTAATCAAATACCTTATTAAATCTATAAACGTTTTTTCTTTTTTTATTTCTGACCAATATCACCACCCTTCATGATATAATTTCATATATTCAATCTTATCAATATCATAGATACTTATGTCAATAAAGTTAGTCACYTGAAAAGCTACAAAGCTGAGACCGACAAAAATTGTTGATCAATACACGTGTAACATGTTTCATCTGCTTAAGAGCTTTTACCAATTACAGTTTCACCTCCTGYGAGCATCCTCAAGCCGCAGTTTGTATCTAAATGAGACCATTTTCGAATTAGTCAAACACCGCTGTGTTCATTGATTACTGACTCGCTTATACAGGGTTAGACTCATTTCAGTGTCCAAATATTCACAAATACCAACGGTAAAGTAAAGAATGCACAAGTTCAACTACAATACATTAAACACTTTGAAATTCCACGGACCTTCGCTGGAATACATATAAATATTCAAAGTAATTCCATACGAAATCGAGGCCAACCCTGTAGAGCAGAGGATTAAAAATTGAAGTATTCTTACTTATCGGATTTGAATCGACGATGTCCCATGATGCTCAGCGGTCTTAGGTTTCTAGTTTTTTGGTGATTAACTTTATTGAAATATTTATATATGTGTATCAAGAAGAAAAAACAATACTTCACAAGAATCGAAGTATTGACTTAATACATAGCCATATTGTTAATTAACATTCCAAACCAACCGAAATAAAAATAAAAAAATCGATGGTTTTCCGTATATATATAAAATAAATGACAATTTCATTTGACTTTAACCCTTAAGTTAGTCCGTTTTATATACACACCTTTATTGTCTTTAGTTTTAAATTTCGTATAACTGTCAAAAAGTCGGTCATGTCCTTGCTATGGTGTGACTGTGATGGTGCCAAGACAGAGTGTTCTGATTGGCTGAGCAATCATTTTGCACGCTGATGATTGGCTGGTCACGTACTAGTACTGTGACTCGATCAAACGGTTCGTACACCTTGATTTTTCACAATTATACGAAAACTGGACACGAAAACTAACTGTATTCTATTAGTACATGTTGTTTGTATTTGAATTATGATTTATATAGACCAAATTTGTGTTCAAAGAAATACCACTGCGTTTTTTGATCGCAGGTTCAATCTTTGTAAAGTATCACTTCCTAGTAGACCGTTCACCAACATGGAAATCAGAGTAATAATAACTATAGATTTAGCTAACTCAGTGACATGTTTAATTTTATATGGCTATATCATAAGTTTTCAGTAGGATTTCCTCTCGTTCATAACACATGGTAGACAGTGCTTGACCACCATTTGGAGCAGATAATGAGATTCAAAGACTTTTATCAGTTGGTTAAAACCCTACAATTGGACTGGATTTGGTTTAAGCGGAAATTTTTTCTTTTTCTTCTAAATTTGATACTCAGAAACCATAGAAATAAAGCACCAGAAATTAAAACTAGCTAGTGATGTTATGAATAGAAAAATAAGTTCAACCTGTGACTTCTTATGCTGGATCGACCGTTGTCATGGAAACTGAAGGAATTAATATTTGACCATTTTTGATCAAACAACCACACCCTTTACATACATACATTAATTGCTTTGATTTTTGGTCAACTATTTACAATTTCATTGGCCGAAACTAAAAGCTACAGCATGTCGAGATAATGAGCCATTATATCTACASTTTAGTTCAAATGATTTCAGATCCCCCAAAATAGTATTTGAACAGACTTTGTAGGATTGGAAGCATGTGGTAGCTTGACTCTCAAAAGCCGTTCCATTATTAACCAATCAAAAYACGAGAAAACTCACATGCGCACTATATATGGAAGCCATTGAGTCATACGTAGGTTTCCCCAAACAATGTTATAAGTTATTGGTTATTATTAAGTTATTAACTAACTATTTTTTTATTATGAAATAGTTTTTAATTTGAAATTTAAGTCTAGCTATTTATATAGAGTGAAATTTTAACAAAATAATGTCTTCTTTAGTTAGGACTTTAAAGTAAATTTCATTATAGGGTTTAAGTGATTTATAAAATTATATTAGTTTAGCCTGTGTAGCGGCCCATTGGGGACTGGGGCGTTCCCTCCTCCACAGGTCCCCCACCCCTTTCACCCTCCCCTCCCACTCCCCCTCCCCCTTCCAATTTGGGCCGCTACGCAGGCTGAACACACGAAGATTTGTTTACACGATCTCTTCTCTTTTCAGCATCATTGGTCTGTACGTGGGTTTCGTTTGGTTGGTGGGTAAATTCGTACGATTATTTTTCACTTCTATCTCATACCGAATCATGTTCGACGAGATGCCTAATGTAGACAAGGTCCTCAAGCTGTGCTTGGATATTTTCATGGTTCGAGAAAGCAAGAGCTTTAAACTCGAAGAAGACCTTTTCGCTAAACTCATGTTTCTGTATCGCTCGCCAGAGACGCTCATAAAGTGGACCAAGTATAAACGGCAATAAGCACTTTGTTTGATTATATTGCATGCAAATGATTTGGTGATGAAGATGATGATGATGAAGATGAAGATGATGATGATGAAGATGATGGTGGTGATGATGATGATGAAGATGATGATGAAGATGATGNAAAAACATTACGCCCCAATTTAAAGAGGTTCATCGTAATTATTTATTAGTAAGAGAGACTTCAAACTGACTATGATGACTATGCAAAAGTGTTATATCTTGCAGATATTTTGCAGCTAAAATACGATGTTATTTCTCAATGATATTTAACTACGTATCCCTCATGAAACCAAATTATTATATGCATCCCAGAAATATTTGGCAGCGCTAAGATACCATATATACTATTTGACAAAGAACCATGATACGACGCTACATGAAGGCGCACGGATCAGGATATTCATGATTTTAACCTTAAGAGACCTCGGTTTTCGCCCAACCAAACCCTTCTCTGCCCCCTCCCCTCATACCAAAAATTATACCCTTATTTTATCTAAATTGCAAAATAAGTTAAATATATAAAGTGRTAAGCTTGGCATCACGTGACATTTTCTAGTCACGTGACTGGTATTATGGGATGCCACATGGCAACCGGCTTACGTAGCGTTGTTAACATGTGACTCCAATGCGAGAAACCACTTCCGACAACATGCTGGCCTAGCGTCACATGACCGATGACCTCATCTTGTCCGTGTGATGTCTTGTTGATCACAAGGACCCGGAATGTGATCTTAGGCAATGCATCCTGGGACACTTTGAATGCAAAGGCCTCGTTGTAGACTGGGTTGAAAGTCTTCTTTTGCATGGCAGTGCGCTTGCGACCTACCCGTTTTTTGTTGACGTTAAAGAAGACTTTTACTAGAGGGCCTGTTAAAAATACGATAATTGAATCAAATTATTTTCTCCCTTTATTAAAATCTTCATCGATCCTGCACCCCTTCCTTGACGTACCCAYACTTGTTTGGTTTTGCGCAGAAGGAGAAGGAGACGAGGAAGAGGGGAATTGGATACATACGGTACTGATTTACAGTACATACACGGCCCGTCATGAAGTAACATTGAAATGGCTTCYCATTATCTTCAAGTAATTCATCCAATCACAACGCGCAGTTAMGACTACGGTACACGTTACGGCTCCCGCTCTCTGCTTTCCACTRACCCGAAAACCACTCTAGTTTACAAATCTGGCCCCGCCTGAATCACCATTATTGGGTATGACTCTCTGCTTTCCACTGACCCGAAAACCACTCTAGTTTACAAATCTCAAACTTTACTTTTGTTCTGAATTCTGTTTCAAATTGCAGGAGATCAAAGCAAATTGTAACAGGTTTCTTACCCCATAAACCAGTCGTTGACTCGATTTTGAGTTGYCTTGCTTTGAGTACAACTATGGTCAATCTTTGGGTGGTCGGGAAATAGTTTAATGATAGAAGAATGTCGCCGACATATTCGCATTCAATCTGGAAGAAAATAAATACCACAGTCAAGAAAAATTTTCCAATATAAAAACATGTTTTGCATGACATTAAAACGGCGTTGCACAGGGTACTGTCATGGTACCGAAGTAAGGAAAGATTCTCGTCCAATCGAAACGCAGGGTTGGAATTGTCACGACAATGCACGTCACGCAAGAAAATATACTCCAAAGAAACAAAACAAAACAAAACAAACAAACAAACAAACAAACAAACGACTTTAGAAATTGCACGTTTTCTGTTAAATGGTCCACAGATTGTCGCATTTTGAACAAAACACTTGCATACTTTCTCAGCTTTGTTAACTCAGATCCGAAAAATATGGAGCAAGCACTTCACTTATCGCGCAATGACCTTTCCTTTCCGTAAAGAAATATCAAGCAAACACGAAAAAAATGCGTGCAGGGGTGGTTAAAAACAATAAATATCATCAACATAAATTCCTGCAACTTCCCCTCAATTATCTAATAGTCCATCCCTTACTCTTACCTTATTGATATCCGTCAAATCGTACCACACAGAGCCAGGTGTACCAACGTTCATCTCGGTTACCGGCATTTTTATTTGTCCAATGACATGTTCATTTGAAAACGAGTCCAGCTCGAGTATTCTGATTACGACTTGTAGCGAGTCTGTAGCCCGTCCGTTCAGTGCAAACAGAAGCTCGTCGTTCCATTGCGGATTGAATGACATGGGCTGTTTCTCGACTTTTCTTTCGTCGAGTAATGTGTCTTCGAGATCGTAGATTTGAGCAACTGGGTACACCTTTGAGTCGAAAAAAAAGGTCATGGCAAAATCAAATCAATACACAGATGGAACACTTTTTTTCACTTGAAAAACTGAGGCGGAGATGCGAAGACTACACAGTGAAATTTTTTTCTGAGAAGTRATCGACCTAATCATCTGTTTTCCCATTTCAAACCATGTGTCATTGTCTTGAGGATTAGAGTCTTCGTTTAATTGTTGCACATGAGAAGACACATGATCGAATAAAGGCACTATTTCAAACGAAGAATCTTAATTAAGAGTATGACACTTGGTTGGAAATGGAAAAGCTACTTCCAAGCACTTGCTATTTATTTTGGACATCATGTTTTTGCATTTACCATTTACCTTTTCCCACTTTTTATTTCTCAGTTCTAATTTCCCACTTCTTATTTTTCATTTCCCACTTTTCATTTCTCACTTCTATTTTTCCACTTCTTATTTTTCATTTCCCACTTTTCATTTCTCACTTCTAATTTCCCACTTCTTATTTTTCATTTCCCACTTTTTATTTCTCAGTTCTAATTTCCCACTTCTCATTTCCTATTTTTCATTTCCCACTTTCCATTTCCCACTTCTCATTTCCTCTTTTTCATTTCCCACTTTTCATTTCCTATTTTTCATTTACCCTAACCTAGTTTTCTCAAGCTTTACCTGAGCTGTTTGAACATTAGTCTTACATATGATCCCTTTAGCTTGTACCAGCCCAACCACAAGAACATCGTGTTCAGAGTTATAATCCACCTCCATCTGCACCTTCCCGAGATCTCCTGGGGTCTCAATAATATAAGGTTCCTCACTATCTATGCTATCCACGTCAGAGTGTATGTTTTCATAAGTCTGGTACGTATATTCAGACGGCCATTTTGTTCTTGACGTGACGGAGTATGTTTGGTAATCTTTCGGTGGATGGGATCTGTGACGTCTGTAGCGACACCATACCCATAAGCACTTGCAAAGCACTATGATAAAGGCCGCTGCAAGTGCACTTGCTACTCCGACGATCACCAAGAGAGCTGTATAAGAGCTTACCACTGGGGAAAAATAAGAAATAAGTATGAACTAAGGCTACGTTTGAAAGTGTAGTGACCTTGTTTTTAGCTAGGGCTAACTTCAAAATTAACATTCAAATTCTATTGATCTATTACAACCACTGGTCTGATCTAAGTCAGGGCACCAGAGTTTACCATGATCTACCAGGGCCCTCCATGTAAAAGAGGCCAAGACCAGAATTTGTATGACTGCGATACAAGTTCTGTTCAGTAGACCGTTACCGTGCCGTCTCCTGGTATTCTGATTGGACGAGCACTGAGTGACGTAGCGCACTGTGATTGGCTCAACGGATGTCCAATCAGATAAATGACATGATAAATAAGGCCTTTACTAATTCCAATCAAATGTAAAAAAAATGCACTTTTTAAAATGTTTATAAAAATAAATATTTTTCTATGAAACTTATTTTTGAGTCTTTGCATTTGCTTAATGAATGACCTCTAGTAAAACATCTCAAAGCTATATATTATCTAATAAGTAGGCTAACAGGAAAATACAAAAGAAAACACACTTTTTCTCAATAGAATTTGTGCCAATTCTTTCGTGTTTTCCTGTTAACTTTACAAGATGGAAGTGATCTGTACTTSTACATTCTTCCTGCTCTCCCTTTGCGCTGATCTTACAATTTTCCCCTACATTTTGGATCAAGTATTTCTTTATCAAACTAATATAACCGGCTTCCTAGTACATCCCCTTTTGATATCGTCCTTCTTCGCATAATTTATGATAAATTCAGTGATCTTAAGCTTTGCTTTTGTGTGTTTTTTATCTTTTGTCTATTCTGGTAATAACTAGCAATTTCTATCATTCACGGATGTAATCTTATGAAAAGTAGTTCCTCTCAATAGATAAAGTTCTTATTTTCAAAAGTTCTTTTTGATTTCACTTGGTCTTAAAATTAAAATCACTATTCAGATTTCTGAGCCTTTTATCTTAACCATATTGAARAGTGAAAAGCTTCAAGAGTTTAGTTTTAAAATCAATTTGTTATAGTACGGTTAGCGGCTCTTTTTAAACTAAAAAACTAATATTAAATAGTAAAAAATATAATACAATTTTGCCTTACTTGCGAGGATGGCAGTTTAAGTGACATGCCGTTTTTCCGCTTTTAATACATAGTTCTTTTAAGCGTCTTTTGCTTGAAAGATATATCCGAGTGTTTACGTACAACTTTATAGCACCTAGTRTTCTATCTACACGTGGCTTTGCAATTGTCCATTGAGTATACACTCAAAAAATAGTGGAATATCGAACGGCTATGCTAATGTTAGCAAATCCAAAGACTTCACGCCAATATTCAACTGCTTTTCAAAGAGATGTGACAAAAGAAAACAAGCGAATCAACAATATTGTGTATTCACTCCTAAGGCTGTGAAAACAAAATCCAAGCTTCTGTATGCTACGTTATAATGAGTTCCGACTATCACGGTTAAGTTATTTGTAGTTATTCTTAAGAAACATGCGATAGTTCTATACTTGAAATGGCAGTTTATCAGATGAAAGGCCCTCATGATTATTATAATCTTGTTTTGATAGAGCTTTGAAAAAGATACAAAATATTTATAGGCCAATTAATAATTCAAAAAACTCTGATTATTTGAATGTAAAATCAAAGTTCTGCTAGCTTAAGCTAGGCAATGCGACATCTTCGAAATTATAATACTATAAAAACAACAGGCTTTAGTGAAACTGGATACCGAAATCGAAAAATATCGGATCATTTACAAGCTTTTTATAAATGCTTTTTTCAAGTTATTATAGACTATGCATCGAYCTATTTTTAAAATCGTTTCTATTAATACTACAAAATGTAAAGCTCATTCTTAACGCGAGGTTTAAAGGATTAAAAGAAAGAAAAGTG